GGATTCTCTGAAAATTCCCCTAAGAACAAAACCATTTGGAAGTTCAAGATATGTTTAGACGATTAGACTCTGCCTCCCCAAATTTTTGTTAGCCCAAAGAACAAGCTGTTGAATGGAAAATAACATAGAGATCTTGTAATGCTTTAGAATGAGTAAACTTAGTTTTTCTGACTCAAATCATCCTAAACTGACATATTTGCAGCATAAGGCATGAGGCTGATTTTGAAAAAGGAATTTTCTTGGGTGTCGTAGAGAATGATATAAGTTCAATTTTAAAAAGTGACGCTCTCATAATTGACTTGGGTAATTCTAGTCAGAATTTAATACCTGTCAGCCATGGCAAGTCTCTATCCATTCATCAGCCAATGTTGTATGTGTGATACATGTGTGTAACCCCATGAGCATAATACAGAACCAAGAAATTGGCAGACTTTCATTAAAAATAGCTTATGGCTAACATTCATTGAACTCTTGTCGTGAATATACCATCTAATTTGATACTTGTTTGATATTTACTTTATCCTTCAAGACTTGAGACTAGAGTATTTCAGACTCATGGACACCTTCTATGGTTAGAAAGCTACATGACCCACAGCAGATGTGTTTCTGGGGCTGTATAGATCCCTATCTACTCCTCAGAGTTGTGTTTCTTTCAATGTAAGACTGAAGGGTGAAAGAGAAAACCCTTAGTTTTGTAAAAAATCTTTCAAAATTTATAGGGCCAGGATTTTCAAAGTCCTGACCAAATTTCCTGATCATGACTTTTTATATTTAAAGAAGTAAAAAATAAAATGATGAGTCCTCTAAATTTGTTCTTTTTATTTTAAAAACTAGCACCCTCCCCCATGCTAACTGATCTCTACATCTTTTGATTAGATGGTCCATCTTCATCAATGCATCTGCACCTTGGTATGTTCACTGTTTGTTTCCAATTTTATATCATTCATTCATGTGTTCAACAGATTTTTATTGAGTGTTTACTATGTTCCCAGCAGTGTTTCTTCAGTGAAAAACAAACATATAAGAATCACCACTTTCATGTAGTTTATATGTCTTACCCGCCACTCACCTGAAGAAAGCCTAGGAACATGAATTCCAATTAACAATGTAGTACATCTTCAAATGCCCTGCCAATTATAAAGTACATTATTAATAAAGTACATTTAACTTTACATGATAACCAGGGTTAACTCTCTCAAAAGTGATATTGCCACACACACACACAGCAACACACACACAGAGGAAACAAAAATGAAAGATGAGTTTATTAAAATATAATTTATTAAAATAGAAAAGGTAATATATTTCAATAAGAAGTGTTTTTAATATACGTGTATATTGGATGAAGGTGCTCACAAAATAGGTTAAAGGGAGAAGAAAATGCATGGAAACGTTAAAGATTTGGAAAGGAATTGGATTCTTACAAGTCTTAGAAGCCAAGGGAACTCATTTGCATTATATCCAAGTTAAGTCTGCAACACGGGGCACCCTTAAACCACTTTGCATCTCTAAAAGTGGAAAACAAAACTAGGTGAGGAGTGAACCATGACAGATGAAAGAAACGATTGCAGAAGCAGATCAAGAAATATACATGATGAACCAGAGGGAATGGAAAGGGAGATGATTCATTAACTTATACTTAACACCAGCCACAAGTTCTTGTTGGTCAGAAACCTAAAGATAAGTTATTGTAACAAGACTGGATTAGACAATTTAGGATGGGACCAAGAGCTCAGCGGGTCCTTGATAGAAATTTGTGGAATAATAAAAAAAAAGAAGAAAGAAGCAACATTTTCACATTTATGTATTGAATAAACATTTCTTAATTTATTTCCAAATCTTTCAAAAAATTGGAAATAGAAATAATGTCAGTGGAGGAAAATATCAAATATAACCTTTTTTTCTTGTCATATGAATTTTCTTAAAATTAAACCAAATGCCATTTGCCAGATGTATAGTTCAGGTAAATGTATCATCGCATATTAGGTGAATATATCTCAGGGCTAACTTACCCTGTGACTTTGTTTACTTTTTGATTTTGTTCTTTTAATACACTTCGCAGAGAAACTGCCCACCAATAGGTGGCGTTTGGATTCTAGAAAAATACATCTTGTGTATCTTGACCCAGGAAACAGCACACTTGGAGGCATTCGATTTCTTCATTTTAACACAGCTTGCCAAAATACCATGTAATTGGTAGCTGGTGTCACTACTGCTTTCATATCAATTTGGTGAGCATTAACATATCTTGCAATAGGAATAAAATGATGAGCTCATATTATTATATCATCTTCTTATACGGATAACTAACCTTTTCACAATGTTCTCCCAAACAGTTCACTTGCAACAGGGAGATGGGGAAAAGATTACCTAACATTTCAAATTAAAAATATACAGACAAACTATTTGAATACAATCCTATGTGAAGCAGCCACAATTGGAAAGATCTGCTAGTTAACTACAGAGAAGAATAGAACCCTTGAAAAAGTCTAAAGTTACTACATTACCAAGTTTGCTTGTATTTTGAAACTCTCTGAAGGTATATAACAAATAACTTTATTTGTGAAGTTGTCTGTGTTCTTTCAAGATTAAAGAAAAATAATGGTATTACAGAGAGCTACAACAGTGGTATTTAGAAATGACAGGGATGACTAAAGGAGAAGATAAATGCAGCCGAGAGTGGCAGTTCATATGGGTGTAAATTAGGTTAGTAAATCAAAGCTATTGCACTAGTGTTCTTTAAGCAATGTAATCATAAAAATATAATTTTACTCACTATAACATTTTTACAGAGAACAACAGAATAGTGATGCTTAGCCAATCGACCTGTTGTTTAACAGAAATACTTTACTGCACGGAGAAGGCAGTTGATTTATTATGAAATTATTGAATAAATACAGGAGTAGATTTTAAACAACAACCTCCCAGAAACCAACATTTTTCTCTGAGTTAATTTTACAATCTACACATAAACTAGGTGTTTGCAGATGCTACTGAGGTGGGAAATCACGTTTGCCCATTGACAGGGGAAATCCCAACTCCTTTTACTTTTTCAATGGGTAAATCTGATCACAGGGAGACTTAACGATCTTACATTTTTATATCGCATTATTATTATTGTAGGTAATGCACAGTTTCAGAGTTTACGGACTGTTTTAAACATTAATAGTTGGAGGCAGAAGTCACTTACAGAATCGACAAATTGGATGTAGGTTTAGATTAGATTAGATAGTACCTCTGCAATATAACTCTTCTCTACTGATTAGGACTCCCTTGGTTGCATCTAATGAAGATGTCTCTAGCTAATTTCATTTAAAAGAGAAATTGATAAGAATTTTGACTTATATGAATGACTTGTAGTTAAAAATAAGGATATATCTCTTTTATTTTCCAATTCAGCTCTCAGACCACCTCCTGCTCATGTTAATTGAAAATCTAGCATCTCTGTGTAGTCAGTGAGTGGGCTTCCTCCAGCCAAAGGGCTCAGAGCTATCTCAGGAAGGTTTTAGTTATGTTAAACCTCAAAAATGAAGGGACTGGGATCTTAACCTTTTTCTTCCCTGGGTTATTCTCCTTGCCTCTGGGTCTGCTTCTAGCACCTAGCCTGGAATAACAAGGAACAGCATGCAGAAGGACAGGCTTGATTGGATATTTTGGCCCTTTCTCTAGAGCATTGATGTCTCGTCATTTTATATTTTGATAATCAAGAAACAGTACTCGATATTTTGGAAAAAGTCAGAGAATATCTGCTCCCAAGTGACTGTCTCTATCTACTTAAAAAGGGTTAGTAGCTGGCATGTTTTTTTTTTTTCTATTTATAAACAAACAAGTGTGTGTGTCCATGTGTGTTTGTGTGTTTGTGTGTGTGTGTTTCTATCTTTCCAGGTCCCTCTCTATCAAGGAATAGAAGGCTGGTTTATGGGACACAGAATAAGAGTTGCAGCCAGGCCTCTGTATTGCCTGGAATTAGGCACTGGGTGACATAAACACTCCACATTTTTCCTACCTTCTCTGCAGAACAGGTTTTTCTATTTGCTGCTCTATTTATTTTAAGAAATATAGTTATACACATATGATTGTTAATTTTTTTGTTGTTGTTGTTCACCTACCCAGAAAGACAGATTCTGTGTCGGTTCTAGTCCTATGAATGAAGTAAGGGACTGTGATTAGCCCCACTGATGTGGTTTGCTGTCCACTTTCATTCACATAAATATTTTTCAAATGGGCAGGGACACATTGTATAAAATGCATGCCTACCATTTGAAACTGTTATTAAGGTTCAAATTCCAACCCAAAGGAATCTCAAGTTCAATTGTTCAAGTTGTTTACAACAAAAGAACATCATTTTGTTATGGGCCAGCCTATATGGCAGTGACCAAGCAAGACTCCATTTTACCCTGAGACTCCATATCACGTAAGAAATGCTTCCCCCTTGGGAAAGCCCCGCCTCTGTACCCATTAATAGTTACCTAGCATAACATACTTGGCAACACAAAATACCAATTCTTATACAATGTAAAATTGATCTCTTTGATTTCCATTTTTCTTGGGCAATGTACTTTGTCAGAAACTGATTGTCTAGAGGTTAGTAACCATTCTCTAACTTGTACTGAACTAGGGTCATTTTGATCCACTTCCCTTCTGCTTGCTTGCTGCTGTGCCAACCTGGAAAGACCCATGGGAAATACCAGTGTACCCATTGCATTGTCTCACTAACTGCCGAGTCCAACTTCTGTACCTGCTTGCTTGCAGCTGTGTCAATGCAGATGTGGTTTTTGCCTTTAAATATCCTAAAAAGCTCAGGCTCCGAGGCTGTTCCTTGCAGAGATAGTTATGGGTACTGTGGGGGGGGGGCGGTCACCAGGTAGCCGGCTAAATAAAGACTCTTCAGTTTGGATAAAAGTGGGACTTGGTGTGTTTTCTGAGTGACCTGCCCTGCAACATTTAGCCTGGCTCATAACAAATTCAGAACAATCTTGACATTGCCAAATAACTTCTTTATTTTTCATAACAATGGCTGTCTTTTTATTATAATTATCAACTTCAAAGATGGGTCTGTTTTCATATTTGTATTAACAATTTTTTATAATGTTAGAGTATTATTCCAGAAAATGAATATATAATGGCAATTTTATGACGAATGGAGGGATTACTCTAATATACACATATACATATATACATATTATATGTACACAATGGCATGTTATGTTAACTTTTGAAAATTTTCCTAATTCAAAAGTTTGCTAATTCAAAAACTTTGATGATCTGATCATATTTAAAATATACTTTGCCTCTAAGATTCTATGTTTGCAGGTGATATACTTAGTGATTAGTAAATATAAAATTTTCAAAAATTCCTTCATAATATTAACATATGAATAAATTTAACATTTAAGATTTTAGTTCATTTCACCTGCCATTTGTTTACTATACCAGATGATACAACTGAGTTTTTTATTTAATTGTACAGTTATTTCTTTATGATACAAATCACTTTGCAGTAACAAATCTCCACCTGCCATTAATAATCTCCAAAGTACTGCATGCATCTAAATCAGAGATTACATCTCATCTTCTACAAATTAAAAATTCTACAAAACAGTCTTCAAATTTTAGTATAAAAATTTCTAATAAAATTTAGCAACTTGTTACTTAATATATTTAAAATTGCTTTAATAAAATAAATTGCTTTTTAAAAAGTGTTGTCATAGATTGTACAGTAAATATAATTAATTATATTTATATAATTATATTTTGTTGAAGCATAATTTAATTATTTTTAATATTTTATTTTTTAATTTGTTCTAATTAGAACATGACAGTAAAATGCATTTTGACACATTATACACAAAAGGAGAAAAACTTCTTCCACTGGTTGAACATGGTGCAGAGTCACACTGATAGTGTAATCATACATGTCTAGAGGGAAATAATGTCTGTCTCATTACATCATACTTCCCATCCCCATACTTCTCTCCCCTCACTCCCCTCTGTACTATCAATAATTCCCCCATTCTCTTCCCACCCCATTATAGATTAGCATCCTCTTGTCAGAGAAAACATTTGGTCTTGGATTTTGGGGGGTTTGGCTTATTTCACTTAGCATGATACTCTCCAACTCTATATC